TTTCCTCATGAAATTATTTTTATCCAATTAGAGAAAAATATTTTTCCTATTAAAAGAAGGGAAAATATTTTCCANCCACCCCACCCTCACCTTCGCCACACCCCAACCCTAAATAAAAATATTATTAATTGTATTTTCTTTTCATGTTATACATAAAATATTTTTTTCATTTTAACAAATGAGTATTTTCCTTTTATGATATAAACAATACTATATTTTTTTCATTTTAACAAAAAAAGTACTTTCTTTTCATGATGTAGAAAAAATATTTTCTTTCATTTCAATAAAATGATGTAGTAAAAAGTATTTTCTTTCATTTCAACGAAATAAGTACTTTTTTCATGTTGTAGAAATAGTACATTCTTTTTCAACAACAAAAAAGGATTTTTTTTTAATTATGGAGCACAAAGTTCAACATTGTTTTTGCACAAAAAAGTAAAGCACAACATTAGTTACTTTGGGGTTTGTGTGAATTTTTAGAAGAATAATTAAATTCTTGAATAAAATAGAGTCCTTAAAACATTAGGTATTTATGGGGAAGGGGAAGAGGAGAGGGGAGAGGGGGAGGGGGAAGGGAGAAGAGCACAGGAAACATGGGGACTTGGGGAGGAGGGGGGGAAGGGATGAGGAGAGTAGCATAAGAGATTATTTTCCTAAAAAATATTTTTACACTCTCTAACCAAACCCTAGAAAAAAAATTTATTCACCACTCAAACAAGAGAAATAAGTGATAAAATCACTCATTTTTCATGAGAATTTTTCATGTAACACCGAACAAACCCTATATATAACCCGCACTAATAATTAAAAAGTTGATACAGATTCCATCCATGTACACATCCAATAATGAAAAAAAGTTTTTGCGAGGGGTGGTAATTTTAGCCCAAACTCATCCAACTTGCCCAAACTGTCCAGAGATTAATGGGTTAGGCTGGAAACATTTTAGCTCATTTGGGCTGAGCCCAAGTTAACTCATCATTTTTTATAGCTCATTCTGCCCCATGAAGCAGCCTAAATACAACTCATGAAGCTCACCCCCAAAATAAGTGTATCTCAACCCAATTGAAGGCTTATCTGAAAATTTACTTAGTTGCCCCATCATTAGTTTATGTATCTAAGTTGAAAAACGAGAATCAAAGTATCTAAGTTTTAATGTAAATATGAATAATATTGTAAATGAGTTGTGGTGAAATTTATTTATTTAGAAATAATATAAAGATATATTTCACCTAACAAACTTTAAATACTAATTTGTTATTTAATAAAAAATATTAATAGAATTTTTTTGGAAAGGAGAGAGTATTTCTTATGTGGGGAGTAAGGCTTCTTGTATTACGTTGTAAAGAATAAAAAATAACTTTATAAATAGATATAAATCAAAGTTTGTACAAAAAATTATATGGGTTGATTTTCTCTAAAATACTTTATCAACAAAGTTTTTTGAGAATTTCGTGTGGCCGGAAGACTCTTTTCTAAATAAATTCGGAAAAGGTCTAAATATACCCCTCTACTTTCAAATATTATTTACTTGTACCCTTCGTTATACTATTGGGTTATCCATACCCCTACCGTCATACTATTGGGTTATCTATACCCCTATTGTCATACTTTGAAACAAAAATACCCCATTTTTGGATAGAGTGCCATGTGGCAACACCAGATTAAAACGACTCATTTCTTTTTTTTTACCCGACCCGTGTTTAAAAAAACCCACAACCCGACCCCTATTTTCATTTTTTCCAGTTTCTTTTTTAAAATTCCAGTTTTTTAACGAAATATTTTGTTAAAAAGCAAAAAATTATTTTTTTTGTTTTTACAAATTTGTTTTTCCAGTTTTTACAAAACAAAATTCTTTTAAAAAACTGAAAAATATATTTTTCAAAAAACAAAAATATTTTGTTGAAAATAATTTTTTCAGTTTTTAGAAAACGAAAATATTTGTTAAAAATGATTTTTTTCTATTTTTACAACAAAAAAAAAATCAGTTTTTACAAGTTTGTTTTCCAGTTTTTACAAAAAGAAAATCTTTAAAAAAAAACTGAAAAATGAAGAAAAAAAAAACATTTTTCAAAAGCGAAAATAGTTTGTTGGAAATATTTTTCTCAGTTTTTAAAAAACGAAAATATTTTGTTAAAAACTGAAAATATTTTTTTTTTATTTTTACAAAAAAAAAATATTTTGTTGAAAAAATGATTTTTAAGATTCTTCAGGAATTCTCATATGTTGCTTGTTCTCATAATGAATTGATTATACCAGCTAAAGTTGGGACTAAGACCCCTGATTCTGAAATATATAAAAAGTGAATATGGGTCCGTTCACCTATCATGTGAACTACTTATAGGTGCATATATGAGATGGTTACATGTGTAATTATTGTCAACCTGCAGTTTGGCATTTGGAATTGCTTTTCTCGATTAAAAGCATAATTTTCAGATAATGAAATCAAGACAGTTCATCTTGATAATGCTGGTTTATATCCAAGCTGGTTTAGTATTGAATACCTCCTATTAATGGCTAAACCATTGCTTATGAGAACAAAGCTTCATGTGTTGGTCTAAGATTTTCTAAATTGCATATAACAACACTTGTATGCATCAGATCAACAATATATGATAAGTCATCCCTTCACAATTGTTTTAGGATCAGAAACCAAATATTTTTACTATCTTTTGTTGCGTGGTATATGATTAATTTCTCTATCATAATACACAAAGATATGTTTTCCAAAGATGATTGGGGATATATGTTAGTTTTTCTAACATTTGGGGATGGAATAAACAGTTGAAAAATATGTTATATGAATCGAATTATCATGATCCTCACTTAGAAGATAATTCAAGTCGAATGCCAGAAGCATTTGCTGATCCAAAATTAAATATCATATTTCAGCTGCAAATGCTCCTATTAAAATTAAAGTCCCTGAAGGATAGAGTTTACTGTACGCATGAAGCGTGGTAGACCAATCGGTTCCAAAGGTAACAATCCTTGAAAAATAGTAGGAGCTAATGATCAAAATGATCATAATGAGGAGGAAATAAGCTCTAGAAGAGCCCACGACATAACATTTCATGAAACTCCCGAAAAAGTTCAGGTACCTGAAAATAAAGAAAGTGATGAGATCTCCACAAGTTATGTCGCTTCGGAACTGACACAAAATGATTGTCGACGATATATTTAATACAATATAGTGCACAATATTATAAACGATTGTGAGGATCAGACTAGCAGTCCAGACACTTGAAGATGTCATACCATTTAGATACAAGTCTTAACCTATATGACTTATTTGGCTAAATCTATATGAAGATCCTTGAAGGATTGAAAATGCCCAAAGCATATAATTCAAAGTATTGAGAAATGTTCTTGATCAAATTATAAAGATCTTTGTATGGTTTAAAGCAATCTGTGCGCGTGTGGTATAATCGCCTCAGTAAATATTTGCTGAAAGAAAGTTACATAAATTATGTTATTTGTCCATGTATTTTTATAAAGAAAATGTCATCAAAATTTGTTACACTTG